GGAATTCTGGTGTTACAGACTATCTCTGAACTTGGAAGCCTGACACTCAATATTGGGTTTTGATATGTTTTTGTGAAATCCTAGGAAGCAACTGTCTGCATGAAAAGATAACTTTGATTAAATGAACTGCTATAATGGTAACATTCTTATGGGCTGTTTTCATTTTCAGTGAAGAATGAGCCAAAGTTGCCAACATATCTGCTGACTGAAAACCCTAGCCACTCTATTACAACAGATAAAGGATCCCTTTTAAAATTCTCCCAGATCTTGTCACTCATGTGCCATTAAACATAAGAAAAGTATGTAATAAAAAACACATTAATCTTTCACTTCTCTTTTGCAGACACTAAAAAAAATGAGGTTCAATGGTTTAGTTCAAACTGGCCCTCCTTCCTAAGAATGTTTTTTAAAGGTTAATGCCCTGTGCATTTTGAAAAATAGTTCCCAGAAAGACTTTTTATAAACCATGGTGAAAAAAACATATAAAACACATGTCATAGCCATCCTTTTGTGATATTTTGATATACCAGCTTTATTGCATGTTCGAAAAAGCTCAACTTTCAGGAGACTTTTCCCTGTCTTGCAATTTCTGCCCTGCCATCCTACAGCTACCAAAGGGGTGCTGATGTGGGGAAGGTAGAGGGCTGCACAAAAATGTAAGGTTTGACTGTTCCAGTATAGTAACTTTGATACAGTGAAATCACTCAGCATTGTTTTAACTTCTTGACAGCAGTAAAGAAAAACACATGCTGAGTTTATCCTCTGGTTAGTAAGATGTATTATGTAATATAGCATAGCCAGCAGATTTAGCTATGGATAAAATGAGCCTATTCCTTTCAAAAATGTCAACGGTTAGTTTGGAGGTATACTGTAAATACAGCACTCACTCTCAGAGGGATGTCAGTTATAATTACTTTAAGTACAAATATTAGCTAGTAGCTATCTACAATATTAGACCAAACGTATTCAATACTTACCAAACAAAGAAACAAATCCTCAAAGTAAAACTATTACTTTTCCTGCCTACCTCCTTAGTTGACAACTGTAGATACAAGAAAGTTTTGGATCTGGTTTTTCCTACATGAGTCTGTAAATCAGACTTTTCTACAGGGTGCCCTAAGGAATGTCAAGTCTTTACTCTTTTTCCTAAGAAGACAGTAACCAGGAGGAAGGTGAATTAAGGTTTCCAAGGCCCTTCCTGGAAAGCAGAACAGGCCAGGCCTGAGTCCTGGAAAGTAGAACGAGGATGGACCTGAATTCCACTGTACCTGATGACTAATTCAAATAGTAGGAAAACCACAGTGGTCAGAAACATGGCTTAAAAACCCCCAAATCAAAACAAACCAGAAAAACATTCAGAATCTTCTTTTTAAAAATTTCATAAAACCATAAGTTTATAAGGAGGGATCAACCCAAAATTCTTTTCAGCTCTAACAAAATAAGACAGAACATGAAGATACACAAAAGCTATTAGAAACAGAGGGTATAGTGGAAAAGCACATTTCCATGCACATCTGTGTTGTAGCTGAAAAGTCAAGTGACAAAATCAAAAACATGAAATGTTGTTTTACCAAACACTAGGAATTTGTTCCACAACTGTGGCCTTCAACATTTGTATCAGCTCCAGCTGGAAAGATACCAGTGAAACACGGTTTACAAGGCAGTACAGTCTTGTGGATTGTATCCTGTAACTTGTTTATTCTTGGTTCTGAGGCTTTACTTTCTCATCTCTCTCAGATTCAGGATGCTCTGACTATTAGAGCTCTAAAGACAAAACTTTTCGCCCTTATGCAATTCCTGTCTAGAGAGACAACTTGGCTTTCTTTAAGAATGGGCCAGAGAACCATAAGAATTAGAGACAGTATGACAAGTCATAACTCTTACACTTATGCATTGCAACTGTTTCCACCCATCATTAAAATATTTCAAGTACGAGAGTGTTGAACTGAAGAATTATATGTTGGATGGCACTGACGTAGTGGCATAAGGGAAGAGACAAAAGTAAGTGGAAAATATCCAAATAGCTCTTTCTGATGAAATAGAAAACTTTAGAAGCTAGACAAAGTTGAAGGGACAGTGGCTTAAATATTGCATGAAAGACCATCTCTAACTGTACCATCATCTCACACAGTATTCACAGGCAGTAACTACAGAATTTTCTCGGCAGCTGATACCTCAAATGAAACACAAACATAATTGTAAAAAAGCATTGCCTCCACGTTAAAACACAATACCCACCAACCCTCCGTTTCCAATTACATTGCCTTTACTTATGTCTGCAAAATATTAACGTAGAAGTCTGAATTATGACACAGCTTATAACTGCCTCATCGCTTGTCATTTGCTACGGTAAATGTGACAAGGAACCGCAACAGAAAGGTTGTTCACCTACACTTAGGGCACTACGCTAGGAACAGATGTAAGTAGAGGCCTTATTTTCTATAAAGACAAAACTATTATAATGCAGGATACACAGAAGCAGTGCAAAGTTTCCACTGGAAAATTTAACTGGTGTTTTGCCGATGTTGACTACTTCAGTCACGCCGGTAATGTTTCCAAACTATTCCTCCGACAGTGCCTTAATTTTTGAAGTCAAAATAATTAAAGAAATAATTTGTTGATAAAGAATACTCTTTTGAGAACAGCAGTAACATTTTCTTTTTCACCCTAGTCAAACACACACTTGTGGAGGTAAAAGTATAAAAATATATGAGAAAATGGAGTAATTTGTGTTCCATCCTCCTGAACAGCATATTTGCACACAATCTCTCAGACAGTTCTGGAAGTCACTAACATCCAAAGGGTGTACTGGCTCTGTTCCTTTGCAGCTGCAGGAGGCAAGATGTTCCTTCCACCTTGTATCACTGAATGGAAATCCCAGCCCGTGAGACCAGGGGTCAGTGTGTTTCATCTCCCATGGAAAGAAGAACTGAGCACTAGAATTCCAAAGTTCAAGTAAGAGTGGCAAGATTTACTCTGATAACCTGTTCACATGAGTATCTGCATCACCAGAAAGTGAGTTTGGCTAGATTGTTTTCCCTCAAGTTATAGAATTGATTCCACTGTTCCCCAGAGAGCAAGAATGACCCTGAAGCTTCGGTCACGTACTTCATGACTTAAAGAGCACAGGAGTTCACTGGAATTCAAGCTTGCTTAGCAAGGCAGAGTAGCCCTCTTAAAAGAATACTACCACTACATATCTTCATTTTTAAAATGTTTTAAAATCCAAATATACACTTTGTTTACAAAAAAAGTCTGTACTCCCTATCAAACAAGACAGTGTTGTAGAAGACAATCCTTCGAACATTTCCAGATAACAGCTAAATACTAATACATTCACTTTTTCAATGCAGTTCCATTAAATAATAACCAGAGAGGCAGCTACAAACAAAAGAATTAGACTGATGTTTCAACATTGCAATGGAACAATCTTAAAAAAGCTGTTTCATTGAAAAGAAATAAACTTTCCACCTGCAGCTTTATGCATTTGGCAAACAGAACTTCACTTCTGCAATGTTATTTTAGGACAGAAAAAAAATGCATGCCAGAGTTAATCTTGCAGTGGATTAGAAGCTTTGTCTGAATTTCACAGTTAACATAAACTTAGAGCCCACTGTTCTACAGTAGAGAGCAGAAAGTCCAGTGAAACCATTTAAAAAAGACAAGGACTGGAAAAGTTCCCTCCCTCAATAATACAAGATTAAACTCTGTTCAATGTAGTCCTCTCTCCTATGAAAACCACTACAATTGTTTACTAAAAGGTCACTTTTTTGATAAAATTAAAGTCTTACAGTCTGCTTGACTTGAACTGCACATCTACCTTACTCACAGAATACACATTGCCCCACTATTAACATTATGTAGAAAACTCCACACTGACTCCAGAAGATGAGTTTACAAGAAAGCCACTTGCAAAAGAATATCATCACAAGGGAAAAAAAAAAAAGGTAGGAAAAGAAAATGAAATCTTTGTCTCTTGAGGAGGGGTGGTGGGTGAAAAATCAACTCTACTCCCCAAAAGACTTTTAAGTTTCCCATCTGTGAAAGGGAATCTCCTAGGAAGGTCCCAAAGTGCTTATTCTTTGATAAACATTATCCTAAGGAACTAAATCACAGCTTCCTATCTAAATGTCACTGGCTGCAGGAGAATGCAGATGTAAAATGCATTACAAAGCACGTTGGACTCAGACAAGCACTTCCACAAAGTGAGAGCAATACGTACAGTACAGAAACAGTTGTGAAATTGCTGCTTCCATGCCAAGGGACTACAAAGTGATTTACAATCCAGATAGAAATATTCCTTTAATTTTATGCTATGACTGTTCTTCCTGCAGTAAGTAATAAAATACTAGTAAAATGCCAATGTTACATGTGTCACGTTAGCAAGGAAGAGAAGAGATCGCTGCCAGCTTTGCAAATCTACTGTACTTCCAGCCTCCAGGAGAAAGGGGAAGTTAAACAAACATTCACACAGGTTTGGAGGTCTTTTTCTTCTTGTAGAAATTTTAATCAATCATATTTCTCTCCTTCAAAATGCATACAACCTGACCTACTGCAGTCAATTCCTACTGAATTGCTAAAGATGGATATAAAGGGAAAGCATACAAGTTCTTTCAAAGACCGAACTGAAATCTTCAACCAACAACACAGGGTGATTCTAAGTAACATTTTCTTTAAAATCTTAAACAGCAGACCTGCACAATGCTGTCTACATAATTATAAAATCATTAAATACAGTAATTTTTTTTCATTGTACTTCTCACTAGAGTCACAAGATACCATGAAAACTTTAAAGCTCTTGAATAAAATAAGCTCAAAAGTTGCTCTCTTGTACCTGGACTTTGCCCTTTTGACTGACCTTCTTTCATCTCTTCCATTATCTTTAATCATTCCTAACATGTTGAAAGTGAATTTCCATAGCAAAACACAAGCACTACAAACCCAAAAGCCCCACAACAGAAAAACAAACAAACCCCCAGAAAGTTGTCATAGCTACTTGCCTCTTGGCAATTTCTGAGCATTTCCCAGGTTTAGTGCAATATATCCACAGAAAAGAAGACAGACAAGTCTTGACATCATGGTCACAAACCCAACCTCGCACTGGGAATGATTCTGACAGGTATCACACAAAAATACTGCAGCTGCATTTAAGTGAACTGTTCTCTCTGTGACAAGAGGCAGCAACACTTTGACACAAGCTTAGTTTACACAGTGGGAGGAGACAGGATGACATCATTCACTCCCACTGCAAAAGGAGAATTAGCAATAAAAAAAATAAAAATATTACCAGGCTCCCTCTACAATAGTCTTCTGGGGTTTGTTACAAGGTTTTTTCAACCACTAAGGGGAAGAAATTGCCATTTTATTACTTACATTCCATGCAAATAAAACGAGGAATATCAAACTTTCTATTAATTGAAAACTGATCTTAGCGATGTTTTCACTGTTTTGTCCAAGAAAGCTGGATTTAAACTGCAAAAATAGCATTTGCAGTACTCAGAAAACTGTTTGCTATATTGAACTCGGTATTTTTGCAATGTCAACATTTTGCTCAAGGGTAATTCAAGCTAGATATGGTATTCATCCAGGCAAAATAAATACTAGTTTAATTTGACATGACATTATAAACAGGCATGGTAAATATTTATTCAGTAAAAGAACTGGATTTGAAAAATCTAAATGTCATTTTTTTCACTTATAGCTGGTTTTGACAATTTAAAAATACTTTAGAATTTCCCCTTCCATACATATCCAGTGAGCCAATGGACACAATGCACATTGAAAATAATAAGACTATGCATCTCCATCCAGGGGCTAGATCCTCTCAACAGTAACATAACTTTAAATGAAAAAGAAATTCCATTTTTCTATTAAAAGTTGTTTCATTCCATGTTTACAATAAGCCAACTAAGCATAGCATTTGTTCCCACTCACAAGTGAGAAGATGAGAAGGAAAGGGTGAAGCAGAAAAAAAAAGGGTTACTACTGAGTAGGGAAGAATTTAGTCTCAGTATCTGGAAAACTTCCCAAAGAGATTAAATCTATTCAAGTAAGTAGTGATATCTCTCTCTCCTTAAAAAAAACCACCCAAAAACCAAACAAGAAAAACTCAAAACACACAAAGAAAAGCCCCCCCCCCCCAAATAAAATAAAAAAAAAACCCTAACCAAAACCAAAATAAAAAACCCACCAATCAACAACCAAAATCAAACATACCTAGAACTACAGTATGCTTGGTCTGTTCTCCCTCCCCACTTGTCTGGACCTGATGCCATTCTACTTTCATAGTGTTCTATAAACAGGGTAAATCACAGCATTGACACCTGGGCTGGGTAGAAACAAAGTAGTTTAAAATAAAAAGCTAATATATTAAAGCATACAGGAGCATTTCTTAAAAACCAGATTAAGCCTGTATTTAAAAAGACCCCATGTATGCCATAATTCAAGAAGAACTTCACAGCAGAAGCCAACAGTAATTGTCTTAGAGACAAATCCGAGGAATTTCAAGCTCTTCTAATCAATACAGACAGCACACAGTTATAATGAAAACAGCTTGACAATGGAAATGTGTCCCAGCATCATTACACCCTCTCAATTCTGACATAAGGAAACCTTTTTTTTTTTTTATTCACTAACTAAAATCTGCGAATAACAACGTGAAAGTCAGTGTTATAGACAGACCCAAAAAGCCCCCAAACACTATTACTCGAGGATCTTTGGGAGGATTCAGATCCTGAATGTGAACACTCTGAACAGTGAAAGAGGTACCACTTAGATGACATGAAAAGATGTCCAAAAGCCATACAGTTTGACAGGAGCCTTCCAAAACACCACACCAAAAGAGCTTCAAATGACAGAAAAATGAATACAGAGAGAAAAAGTTCCATTCTTCTTTTTTTTTTTTTCAGTTGAAATACTATTTTCTAAAAAACCCCAAGAAGTCATATTCTATTTTTTTTCTCTTCAAAATTAAAAATAAGAAATCAAGCGCATTTGATGGAGCGGTCTCTCAGGAGAAGTAATGGGAAAAATTCCTCCTTGGTCACACAGAGCTGTCTTTTGTATTAGCGTAAGCTGGACTCTCCTGGTTTCTCTTAGGGCAAATTCACTTTCCTTTAAAAGATCACACAACACCTTTCAACAAAACACACAAAGGCCAACTTCTATTCACAAAAATCTCAATGAAACATATGAGTCATTTGGTTACCTAACAACCTCTCTCATAGATAAATATACTCCTGTCCCTGCTTTCACAACCACTTGCTTCTCTGCTCCTGTGCATTATCTGACCATGTCTTCTCCACTTAGGTACTCTATATAGACATTTAACCTTCCCCTTGAAACCCTGGCAGACCATCCACATCCCTTTCTCTCTGATAATTCTTGTAGGACATAGCTCTTCTCAGCCCAGAGTTTAAAAACCCATGTCAAGATAAATTTCCATCTGTCTTACCAAGGACATACTTCATCAGGGACAATTGTGGTTTGATAAGCAGATGTAAGTGTAACTTACAGTTAAATATATGCCAATAGTCCAAAAATCATTACCATAATATTCTCCTACACTTTTTCAACATACTCCCTGCATCTGCATCATCCACAGAAGATCCACAGATAATCAGTGATTTTGTCCACTTGTTTTCCTAGGAAACCTCTGTTACATGGGAAATGAAAAAACACATCAGCCTCTGCTTTCCTTTTTCCTAAATCCTCTTGCCATTCAATGGATGTTGACTACTGCTGTGCAAACCAAAACATGGAAAGAGAAGGAAGCTCCTGGAACTTCCAACACTATCCTGCACTACTGAATGCATCCATAATGCTGTTCAAGTACCCAATTTCTCCTCTTATTGGAGGGCTGGTTGACAATCTCTATTTAAACAGAGACAGAATTTTATTTCAGTTCACAAAAGTTATCTATACCAGTATGTTCCTCAGCTTTCTCTAACCCACACAAACCTGGAACTGCACTCTCCATCCTTTGGCCTCTCAGAAGGAAACTATTAAACAAAGATTCAGTTAATGACAGTTTTGTGTTATCCTTTTAGCGCAGAAGGCAAAAAGAATGAGCCAAATGCAGTAATGAAAAGTCTCAAGCAGATCAAATTTGTTCAGGAAAAGACAAAACACCTGATCCCCCAGTGACTCCTTCTCTTCAGCACCAAATTAATGGTTAGGTAACAAAGTCAAGTACTCAAAAACTTTACTTGCTTACCTCAACTTCAACTGATTCTCTCTGGGGTAGATCTCAAAAATGGAGATTCCAACCAGATAGTATCACAGCTAGTCTGGGAGCAGAACAGAGCTTTTCTAGTTCTATTTTAATAGTTCCCAGACCAGAAAGTACAGTGAAAGCAAGAGCAAGGGAAGAAAAAGAAAAAGTTGGGGGGAGGGAGAGAGGAAGAGCAGGAGACGGGATTTTACATTTTGTTTCCAAGTATGAATACGTTTTTCTTGAGATTTGGGCTCAGTCCCTATTCACCTATCATTCCTGATTATTTTCACAAGCAAAAGCCAAGGTGACTCAACTCCTTGCTGTTCTAATTTAAAGCAGAGTTTGCAAAGCATAACCTTAAAAAACAAAATCCTATCTTTACTTTGAAAAGCACAATAACGTGTGGAGCTCTCCAAGAGTAAGGACTTACTTGCAGTTCACTTGGTCTGTTTTTTTTTCACAGCACTGCTGGTTGATGCTATACATTTCACCAGTGCTTGTCAATTACTTGAGAAGTGTCTTTGTCAGAAAATTTGCTATATAAATGTTAATTATAATTTTCATTCTCTTGTGTGTGACTCAATTATTGGACTCTTTTTCTTGTAAATGTCATGGGAACTCCTCTAAAGGCCTTCAGGAAAAAAGAGATGCCAAAGAACATTCTTTCAGATGTGTTGCTTAAAAAAAGAAAAAGAAGGAAAAAGAAAATGCTAAGTCTACTTTCTGAAAGTCTGCAATTACTTCTTTCCTAATACCTGAATCTCATTTTGATAAGCAAACATTTGAACGCTCATGCTATCAAAAATACAGGGTCACGTGTTGATCTCTTATTCAAAGGTAAGATATATTCATTTAATAGCATAAAAATTACAAGGTCAGGGCATTCTAGCATCCCTATCCCAAACTGAGTTCCAGATCTCCAAATTAATGGGATCAGAGGCAAAGTGAAAGGAATAAATTCAGTGAAAAGGGATGGACAGAACAGCTGGTTCTTGTGACATTTTTTGCATAGTTTATCAAACTGTTTCAGCACTCAACCATTTGATACTTGTAATTTCTAGCAGTGACTCATCTTTACTAACAGGCATTGTATTTCACCAAAGTTCTACACGACGTGGAATGAAGTAAGAAAAGCATTTATTTAACTTCTCTATTAATTATTGACTTATAATGAAATAATTGACTTGTAATGAAAATAACCTAGTACACTCACTTCTGCAGTTTAGGCAATATTATCATGACCTGCCATACGAAGAACCTATGTGATTTAAGGTTTTCAACTCTGCCACTCCTGCCCAATCTCAAGATTTTGTATGATGTTATTTGGGGCTTATTTTGCCTTTTAAAATTTCTTAACAGTCAGGTTTTGAATGACTCCAGAGAAGGACTCTGCTCAGTCTGCATAGGCTCCTGCTGCAATGCCTGTCCATCCTCATGGGGAAAAAACTTTTTTCTCTTATAAGTCTAAGCCTCCCTTATTTCAACTTGCGCCCATTTTCTCTCATGCTCTCACTATGCAGCAGTGTGAGGAGCCTAGCTCCATCTTTTTGGCAATCTCCTGAGAAGCACTGTAAGGGCTGCTGTTAGGTTCCCTCAAGCTGTCAGGTTCTCTTCTCCTGACCGAGCAAGTCCCATTCCCTCAGCTTGTGCTCCAAACCCTGACCATATTGCTTGACCTTCACTAATCCAATTTATTGAAATCTGTCCTGTATTTGTGGGTGGGGTGAGAGGCCAACACTGGATGGTATCTAGATAGGTGGTGAGTAGTGAGGGGCAATTACTTCCCTCAGTCTCCTGGGCTGTGTTCCTGTTCATACAGCCCAGGACACTGTTGACCTGCCTTCCTGCCAGGACTCACTGCTGGCTTCTGTGCAACTTTCTGTCCACCATGATTCCCAGTTCCTTTTCATCAGGGCTGCTCCCCAACCAATCAGTCCCCAGCCTGTATCAT